CTCAACTCACGACCACTGGAACCGCTCACGGATGATCCTGATGACTGTTCAGCCTTGACACCAGGACATTTTCTCATCGGTCAGGCTCCCACGACCCTTCTAGAGCCATCTTTAGAGCAACTCAACGTCTCAAGGCTCTCTAGATGGCAGCTCATTCAGCAGAAGCTTCAAGGATTCTGGAAGAGGTGGTCCACTGGATATCTCCAACGTCTTCAAGCGATATCCAAGTGGCACCATCCGACTCATCAGATACGGATCGGCTCACTGGTTCTACTCACGGACGAGAGATTCCCGCCAGCGAAGTGGCCTCTCGCCCGAGTGACCGCTCTGCACCCAGGATCGGACGGACTCACCAGGGTAGTCACCATCAGGACTGCTCAGACGACGCTGACGAGGCCAATCGCCAAGCTCGTCCTCTTGCCCATCTCACCTTCAGGGGAATAGAACCGACAGTTCACCGGCTTCTCACCGTTGGACTTCGTCAACTTCGACGGATTTACGACCCTGACCAACCGACGGGGTTCAACGTGAGAATGACAGCAGCCAAAGCAGAAGGGATTTACGACCCCCGACGTCTAGGATGCTGCCATGCCTAGCCAGCGCACCTTCCGGACGGTCTCACGGACTCACTCATGGGTGACAAGCTCTGACAGCTCACCAAAGAGCGTTTTGAATTTTGGTTTTTGTTTCAGCTCACCATGGCTCTGCTCATTATGGTTGCGTCAACAACTTTACAGTTGCCGACGGCCGGGGACAATGTTGGAAATCCTGTCAGCTGACAGGGCACTCACACATACACACGCGCGGCTCATCCATTCTCTCCCCACTCACGCACACCTGACGCGCTCACCTCAGATGACCGGGGGTTATTAATTCGGACACCTGAGGCGCCACGTCCTGGACAGCTCCTTATTACCATATGATCTATATTAAATTAGGTCATGTGACCATCGAATTAGGGCACGTGGCACCTGTAAGCCCGTGTCTCTCTCTCATTCGTTTCCGGGAATCAGTTAATAGCACTTCTCTTTGTACCGCTCAATTTCTCGCAAATCGGATAATCTTTATTGTGTCAGCTCAATCTCTTCTCAACTTTTCGGTTCGCTCATTGTTTACGGTTTAGTTAGTGACTCAATATTCAGTGACTTTATTTATTGTGAACATTTAAATTGACAAAATACAGTGATTTGTGACACCACGTGCACGTGTCCGCACATTTTTTTGACCCGCTCATTCACTCTCGGAAATCCATTTCCCACCTGCCCATCCGCTCCTAATTACCACCGATCCAGGCATCTCATCAGACATTCACACATCTTGAATAGCATTATTTCCGGAGAAAATCATTAAAGTATATCAAAGCGGGTCTTGGCGAAATGTCATCAGCATTTGTGGACGTTCACATGTGAAATGGGCACTTGCTTGTCTTCATCACCCTCATCTTAATAAATACAAAAAGTTTCTTCGATCTATTCCAGCTCCCTCATTTGTCACGCTATCAGGGCTATTTTGGACTTCTAACGTAATGAATATTAAGAATTTTTTTAATGAAGAGGTAACTATATATTCAAAAAGTTGGCCATTGTTACGTCCACAGCCTCATTTTATGAAGGGGTCATCGATATTTCATGAAC